GGTGACTAGGCGAATGCATATATTACCTCCGTACCTTTACCCTCTGCACACCGCCAGAGAGAGTCATACAAACTCCTTAGAGCTATTGCCAACACGATTGCGTTTGCAAGCCGGTAGTTTGACTCGGCTGGGATTCGTCCCTTTCATAGCTCTCTATGAAACCAGAAAGGTAGATACTTTTCTACATAGGGTGGGTTTGCCCGGGGCCTCCAGTTATTTACGGCCAAAATCACACTGGAGGCGCTTCAGCAATGTTCACTCTGGTCGACACACGTGCACTGTAAAAATGCCAGTCGTCTACTCTTTCCGAAAAGATACTTGACGAGCCAATCTTAGAGACCGACGGATAACGAGGCCGAAATTATGCTTATACCTAAAAAAAATTATAACACAAATTTGGCCTCGTCATTCCCAAACTGGTTGCCCGACGAAATTCTCTATGCGTATTGCAAGCCAGGGTTGGTAATAGTAACATAAGATAAGTACGGCAGAATTCCCTTCCATAAATAAAATTATTTGGCTAACGCCAAAGTAACGCGAAATTGGTGCAACGAGTTTTGCAAAAGGGAGCGTAAACCGAAAAAAAGGGAAAAAAAAAGACAGAAGAATAGGAGAAATGAGAAAAAAAAAATCTCTGGTGACGTCGCCAAAAAAATTTCTGTTCATGTGATTTTTATTGTCACGTGACCGAACAAAAAAAAAATAAGCGAAATAAAAAAAGAACACGAGGAAAAAACCATCTCCTGCCCGGTTTCGAAGCTAGGCCCTCTTGATCGTGAAACTAGCGCGCTATTCGTTGCGCCTAGTTGCGCCAACATAACTCTGCCTGTAATGCCCACGCATTCTCACATCATAGGAGAAAGCTTAGGTGCCTTCGTCGTTTTTCATGCATGTGTTATTTTTATTTGTGTCAAGAGTTCACGTTCCAGAATGCTTTTAGAGTTGCAGCAGAACGAGTTTCTTCATCTGAGTCACCTTCTAGAGCCAGTAGACCGCACTGGGTCCTCCGGCTAATCAAGCAGCTATATTTTCAAATTCTCTGACGTGCCCGTCCTCGCATCCGAGGTCGCCGTTTGACAAGCTTATCTTCCACCTGGTAGCCGGAACCCCCAGCAAAGCGCACATGAAGGCTCCCTACCCACGGCAGCTTTGTTCCGTCCCCACTCCCTCTCGAGAGGATGGCTCGCCCCGAGGCTAATCCCCATTCTCTAGACGCCCTTTCCACCCAACGCTGGCCCTTTCCCTCCCCGTCTCCAGCTTCGGGAGAGAAGGTTCTTCCCTGCAGAACGTCCCGTCTGTACAGCGGCCTTTAAGAAAATTTTGAGCGCCCCGCTTTAAGGTTCAGCACTGTCTGAGCTTGGCTTTTTAGACAGCTTGCGTGTTTACAGTGTTGCGTAAAGTACACCTAAAAAGTACTTGAAGTAAAGTACAAAGTAAATGATGGCCTGTTATGTACTTCAAGTAAAGTAGTAAGTATACATCATGTGCAATCTACTTGAAGCAACATATATAAATACAATACACTTTAAGGTAAAGTATAAGCACTTTTAACACAATCTTTCATGATGCTCTCTCACTCCCTATACAGTGTTTTTTGAACTGGTATGCATTGCTCCAGGGGTACGTAATCGGAGGTGCATCGGTTTTTTTACGGAAAGGGCAGCAAATATTGTATAAGGTCAAGTCGCCACAGAGTAGTTGTTTTACTCTCGCTGACGAGCTTTTTGACACAATCAACTTATAAGGCACTTATTTCCATCGGTCTTACAGCCGCCATTAGTTCACTCAGAGAAATGACCAGATGACGTCTCGAAAGAACGCGTTTTCACACGACGATACCGCCATTTTATGTTTTCTTATTCGGGGAATGTATATTGAAGTCGGGAGTTTTTCTCGGAAAATACAAGAAAATGCTCAAAGAATTTACTTAAAGTACAAGTTTTTCTAAACAGTAGTGCCTTAAGTACCATCTACATAGAGTACTTCCCAACACTGCTTGTTTATTATTTTTTATATAAAAACGCTGGGAAAATTACTACAGGTACACGCGATTCTTCGAGTACAGCACAAACTACGGGAGCACCAGATGAGTTTCGAGCAGGTGCTGCATTTTGTTGCCTCCTTTGAGTGAGGAAGCAGTGTGTGCCCCTCCTGTAGTGGGCGAAAGTTCCTACGTTTGGGACAAGTGGAGACCAGCCGTTACTTCAAATGGGTCAAGTCTCCTTGAGCTTCGGGACACAGAGAAACGCAAGTCTTCGGCGTTAATCCCGCCTTTACTCGGCCTCTCTTGCGTCGGGTCTGTTCGTTCCCCGCGCCTCGTAGCAGTGTTGTTGCATTGTGTGTGTGTGCGGGGGGAGGGGGGGGGGGGAGAGGGGGCTTGTGAAAATTTTGGGGGGCTTCGGTCTCTCCAGACCATTTTCTGCCCCCCTCCCTCCCTACGCTACATGCCTCCCCCTCTTTGCAAATACCAGCTGATCTTCCAACATCTTATCTCTATTGTGCAGGAATGTTTTTGATAGGTAAAACAACCACTAGAATTCGAAACTAATTTGTAACTTGTGTAGAAGTTACTCAAAAAACTAATTAAAGTAAACTACTAATTACCGAAATAAAAATGTAATTGACAGTTACTAAACTACACCTAAAAGTAGTTAAACTACACTAACTTGAGTAGAGTAGTTGAACTACGTACAAGTCTGTCTTGAAGATAAGACGTCTTCAAAGGGAAGCTGAAGCGGTTTTGTAATTGAGGAAACACACTTGCCCTTCAGGAAGCCCAATGTTGAAATTATTTTCCAATTTCATGCACAAAGGCAGCAGATAATCTCTTTTCAAAGTACTGCTGAAGCCCCTCCTTCCCGGAGCGTGCCATCATAGCAGGAGTTTCCGGAATCTCCGCTCTCGCGTATCTTCAGTGCCTATCGAAGTTACGCACGCAACTCTTGCTATTTTTAAAAATAAAAAAAGACGCCGTGATTGCTGCCAGTGCGGGGGTGTGGCAAGCCTGCGACTGCTCACGAGCGACACGCGCTTGTCGGCCGAAAGATCCTTTTATGACGTAAAGACTGGTCGGAGGTCTTTCGTGTGTTCTCGCGTTTAGTTACATCTTCGGGGAAAACAAGCGATATCTTCAGAATTACGGGATCAAACAACGCAGAAATCAACCTCTATCTCTATTTTCGGAAGAAGCGCTTCACCTTCTCTTAGGGTCAAGAGGAGAAGGCCACTCAAGCTTGTCTTGAGTTGGAAGAGATAAAAAGGAGAAAACAAACATTTGCGTTGCAATAAGGACTGGAAACTTTGTACTGGTGTTGAATGGTGATCAATTTATACTTATGATGCGCTTCAATGGGGAACTCGTGAACGTGAACCAATTGAGTATCTCAGCTAAAACTCGTTCTTCCTAAGTGGGTCCCGCTTATGTTAGTGTTTGGCAAAATGCGAGGCTGACTGATTGATCTACACTGCATATCATTTTATAAATGGTGGCATTAGTCGTGTGGATGCTTCACAGACGGAACCGGCAAGCATTTTCCTCCTCGCTAGTGGTTGGACGCTGCATATATAATGAAACATCTCTCGTGGAAATAGAAATTGTCAGTGCTGTTTGGCCAAAACATTCACCCTTGGAAATGGTGTAGTCCCATAGTACTTATTTTTTTCGCGTCCTTCATATTGAAATGTCTCGCAGGTACCCTCCTACTGACAAGTGGTGTAATTATCCATGCCCTGTTTAATCTCGAAACTGGCCTTCAGTTTTTTACGTGATTAAACTGAACTGCAAATGCGCGTTTTCCCATTTGTTGCCTTCTTTTTTTCTCGTTTCTGCGTCGTAATTCGTAATCATTTACTGCGCAGTTTAATGAACTAATGAATAGCCCACTAGACCAATTCCAAGCACTGGCATCCTTCAGTTATAGCCTTTGCTCATCGCATATGACGATATATGAGGGCAGGTAAAGTAACTTTGTGTTGGCGACTGTTTATTAATACTCATTAATCTACACTTTGCAGGCCGAGCTGACCGGAAATGCTCTTAATGCAAAAGCGAGCAACCCTTCGCTGCCTAGGAAGGAGGGTCAGCCACCAGCCAGCTCAACTTGAGGGCTACATTTTCCCCCAGAAAACCGGAACCAACTAGCCGGATAAAATTAGGAATGGCCACAGCTCAGCCAACTACATGCGACATTTTTATTCGCTTCCCTACCTTCCTTGCCGACGCACCGTGCCCATTTATTTGACGTGTAATTCCCAAAATCTTTGGCGGTGATATACCGTACTGTTGTTGGTTCTGTGGCATGCCTGCCTTTTTTTCAGCACTACAGAGCAGGAGTGACGTATCTAAACCACGCTCCTTGGTTTTATTTACCTGTGTCTTTGTCAATTTGTGTGAGACTGTATCGGCGTAATCCTTTACCGCATGTTTAAGGTGAAGTGAAACCTTTGAAGTACATATTTAATAGATAAGGATCGTTTGAGAATGCAGCTCTTAGGCGCCCGTTTCCGGCTTGAGCGGCGTCGCCGTCGGCGTAACGAAGGTCACCACAAGGTCACGTGACCCCCAAGGTCACCCCAAGGTCACGCGACACCCCCCCCCCCTCCCCCAGGTCACGTGACCCCCTCCCCCCGAGGTCAGGTGACCCCCCCGGAGCATATTAAAGAATGAGGGGAGGAGGAGAAGAAGGAGGAGGAGGGGCATACTCTCCCCTCAGTACCTTCCCCTCCTCCTCCTCGAGGAGCTGTGCTCCAATTCGGCATTACAGGGAGTTGTAAACGGCTTTCACTTTTTTTATGTATGATTCACGTGCAATTTTTGCAATAATGTTTTTCGGGAATTTCAATATTCAGTTTGATGCCCGTGCTTTTTCGTGATGTGGTTATTTTATTTATTGAATTACACCGCAATAGGAATGTAAACCCCTGAATTTCTTTACTTCATCAGCATGATGTGTCTATGTTTGCTTGTTCATTAAGTTCGTTCTGATTGGGCTTCTGAATTGGTATAGTATAAAAAAAGGAAATAAAGAAAATTTGATCTTCACTCCTAACAGAACTTGCCCACGCAGCATTCGACTCCGAATGGCAGAGAACGGACTGCGAGGACAAGGGGGCGGAGCTCTCCTTCCAAAGAACCGAATTGCAGAGGCAACCATTGAAGATGGACCAGGAGGGGAGGACGGACGGCGGTGCGACTTCTGCAGCCAATCTTATGGTACCCAGAGAACTAACAACACCAGGTATGCGAAGACGCACACGGGAAAACACTCACCCAGCCTCGCACCTTCTTAGCACATCCTGACATATTCATGAACGGTTGGTTCTACACGAATTGAAAAACGTTTTGTAGGCCAGGTTTTCCAGAAGGTAGAAAATGTCAGGAGTCTGAAGTGGTACACAAAGTTTTCCTCCCGTGGGATAAAGGGGTTACATTCCAAAGTCCGAGTACTACAACTATGGTGAAAGTAAGCAAACAAGTTGGGCTCAACTGAAGGAACATTCAGTCCGAGCACTCGAAGTTGCAATTGATACATATTTTTTGATATCAGAGAATTGTACCATGGAGTTGCTTACTTATACCACAAAATTGTATTTTTTCCTTTAGTTCCGGTTGATTGAGTAGCTCTCACAAATGCTATAAATTCTGTTTGACGCATAAAATACTCCAAAAAGGTTTGGCTGTTTCAAATGCTTGAGAATTTTCTCTCAACATTATTTGTGTGACCTAGCTTTAGCTTTAGATTGGCAAATGTGCATTCGAGTGTCGAGTTAAAACACCGTTTTTCGCAGTTTCAGATTGCTCGTAAAAAATCGCTGTGGGCCTTAGCAAACTTTTCAGTTTCTAAGGTGCAAAACGAGTATTTTACGAGCCTATTGAATGCTATTTTGTGTAACCTAATAATATGTGGGTGTGTGAACGACCCTTCCAGCGTTACTTAATACACAGTCAGGATCATTATGAATGTCAACATGCTATCACCCAGCGCTCCCTACTGGCAGCGTTATGCAGCCGCAGTGTTGTAGGCGTTACCGTAAAAAAAGGAAAGATACGTCATTCATTACTTGTGAAATAAAGGTACTCGATACCGTTACCGACAGAAAGTAGCCCACGTTACTTTTGCGTTACTTCGTATTTAAAAATTGACGGTAACAGCGTTTTTTTTTCGTTGTTTTTTTGTGACAGCGTTTTTCGACACCGGGATGACGGGCGCGGGCGTTGGAGATTTCCTAAAGTGGAAATTTTTGCGTGAGAAAAAGAGGCAAATTTTAGAAAGTATGTAGAATGAGTGCAATAATTAATTACTTGGGTCACATACTATGTTTCAGCTTAAATCTAGACGCAGCCGACGCTACGAACTAATGGGACAAATCAAGCAGCGTCAAAATCACAAGTCACTGGGACATGAATGTTTACGGTTGGTTCAGCGAAGATTAAACCCGTACAGGAACACAAAGAACAACATGATGGTTCCCTTTCCCCTCTCTCTGATAATTCCCATCAGCTTGTAGCGTCAGCTGCGTCTGGACTTCAGGTAAAACGAAGTATAAAAACTGGTAAAAATACAGGTGTTCGTTTTCAAGTTTTCGGAAGATGTAACGCGTGACGTAATTACGTTATCCGTTACTTGAAATAACTAACGTAAGTACGTTACCCGTCACTGTCTTGGAAAGGTAACGAGTACTTTACACGTTAATAACAAAAGTAAGGTGTTACCGGTAACGACGTTACTTGTAACACGCTACCGCCAACACTGTGCAGCAGCGACCGCGGCGGCTTGACTCCCCTTCCGCACTTGGTTAGGAGAACGCACAAGCCACCACAGCTGCCGCACCATAGGGCTGCCAGAATCGAGTCTTAAACGATCGCCTGTAGACATTTACAAGCTTTGCGAATGATTTTTTTTAACATCTCAAATGAATGAATACCCACTGTAGGCCGCACCGGCATAATGTAGGTATACTGGACCATGTTCAGAACAATTAAAAATGCGCGAACATTTCTCGCTTTGTCCTGCCATCCCAACAGACTGGAACGGAGCAGGCTATGGCGACCAGGTGGATACTTTTGACCGCGACAGCCGCAGAGGTGACACCTCTCCCCAGACCAACTGGTCGGACCCACACAAGCGGCAGAAGCACCGACAACCGAAGAAGCACCCGTGCCGCTTCTGTCCTTACTCATGCCCTTCCGCAACGGATGTCGCCATCCACGAGAGGACTCACACTGGCGAGAGACCCTTCAGTTGTGGTGCCTGCGAGAAAACATTCACGAAGAAGGGTAACTTGACGGCTCACGTTAGAACTCACACCGGAGAGAAGCCGTTCAAGTGCAACACGTGCAGCAGGGCATTTACTCAGAAAGGCAGTTTGGCGAACCATGAGAGGACTCACACCGGAGAGAAGCCGTTCAAGTGCGAGACCTGCGGTAGAGCATTTGCGTCTGATAACGGTTTAAGCAATCATCGAAAGATACATCGCAAGTGATCGAAACCCTCACGCGCATCATAGTTGTGAAAGGTGTTTAAACGAAATACTCGAGCGCCGACATGTGTTCATATCGTTTGGCGATAGACCTGCAGGGGTTTTACTTGCGAGCAATGTGTGTTTCGCATGGTTCAAAATGTTTCCTCCTCTTACTCATCGCGTAAACACAGCTAAAAAGTGTGAATTTACCTTAGAGTAAGCGACCAGAGTTCTTTTTTGTACACGAAAAAAAGAAAATACTTGAAGCCTTGTGTTTCTTTATTAATTTAGAGTCATTAATCACGTGATGCACCTGACGTCTCTGGGTTGTCTGTAGGGTCACTTACGTTCCTTTCAAGTCGGCCTCCTCATGACCATAAACATACGAACTCATAAAATAAGTAAGGTCTTTCAACAGCAGAAATCTTGAATATTGCTAATGTTAAGAAAGTATAAGAGCAACCGAGTAATGAGGAGGGGTCAGCATAATTTTTAGATGAGAAATAAAGCTATATTCTAAACTATTTAACACGCCAAGCTGGAAACTAATGCTTTGCTCATAGGACTGCAATGAATATACATGACTCGAAGATGTAGAAATGCGGTGTAATTTCCTATCTCATTTCGTAATATTCTTTGTCCTTTTCTTTTTGACCAGTTTTAGTATCTGAATTCTGATGACATCACTCAATGTGCTTGCTACATGTAATACTCGTATGTACGTTTTCCTTTTGCATGGTTTTTTTTTGCGCATTCACGAAGACGGTCCTGATTATTTAGGACATTTATACTTTCAGTGCTATTCATTTGGTGTTCATATATACTTCGTTTCACCTTAGGTACGAGCGCGGACAATGTTTTGAGCCGGAGGACCAATAAAACAGCGCAAAAAGCGCAACGCCATGGCCTGCTCTCTGCGCTTGATAGAACTAGCCGATGGAGTAGCACGCAGAGAGAGATGGCGAATACCGGCTACTCCTAGAGTCCTATGAACTGCAGAGAACTCGTCATGGCTGTGTGCCTCTTTCGCTGTTTGATTGGCGCTTCGCCTCATAACATCGGCCACGCTCGGACCTAAGCTTAAACGATGATAGTTTCACTTGAATTCGTCAGGATTTTAAATATTCGAAATTCCTCTTGTAGTGGACGGATCATATACATGTGTTGTACTAAAGGCATAATTGACTCCATTGTGTATACAGTTATGTGTCTAAAAACTACATATGTATAATCCATCTAAATATGTCTTAATCTGCTCTGACTGTACAGTGGTTGTCACTATTGCCTGATGCGCCAGAATTGAAGGAGGGGGAGTCCTGCTCCCAAACGTATAAAATATTTGTTTTAACATATACACGGTGTTTCCAGAAAAAAAAAAACGGGCAAACGTTCCTTTGCAAAAAGTACGCACGGCACAAAAGAGAATTATGATGCCGTAGCGGTCTGTCCAAGGAAAATTGTTAGAGCTGAATATAATGGGATAATTAATAAATTCCGTGTACTTAAATTGTTAAATATTAGTTTTAAAGGAATGGTTTCAAAGATAACATTGCTCGGAATCATTGAGAACGACTAAATGCACCCATGTTAAAATGGCATGAGGCACGCTAAGCATTTTACGGAGTTCTGAACAAATGCTCAAGTTGGACACGTATCTCGCTTTCGGTTTCTTATCGGAGAGCATCTCCGCGTGGGCAATCTCGCCCCCCGTGTCTAAAGCGCGCAACGTGAGTGCACCGCCACGGATTGCTCGTGAAGGAGCGTCTTCACTCTCGCACCGATGTCAAAAAGGCGGACCTCATATGACTGTCCGGAAGCTTTTTTATGTAGACTTCTCTACGCGCGATGAGTGGCGGCGCACATACGTTGCGCGTCTTAGACACGGGGGGCGGGATCGCCGGCACAGAGATGTGCTTCGATAAGAAACCGAAACCTACATACGCGTCCAAATTGAGCATTTCTTCGGAACGTCGTAGAATGCTGCGCGTGCCCCATATCATTGCAGCGTGGGTGTTTTTAGTAGTTTTCGATCATAACAGCAAGATTCTATTTGAAACCAGGCCCTTCAAATCAATAGTGTGCAATTTATTCATTCAAAATTACTTACAAAATTATATTGAACGCTAAACATTTTCATTGGTGGCAGGTGCAAAGGGCGTAAGCTGGTTTAGTGGTAGAACCTACGAGCACGAGCATGTCCGTACTCCCAGCCATATCCACGCAGAGTGCGTGGTCAGGAGATAAAAACGAGTTGGTTGTCTGGCTCGTCAAACGCGTAGCTCCCACCGCACTGTGAACTTCAAGGGGCCGTGCTCCGATGTTGGGTGTTGGGCTTTCTGCACCAGTGGGACCCAAGCACCGGTGTGCCCGTTACAGAAAGCATGTAACAAAATAGAATCACTCGTTAGATTAGGGAGTTGTAGTAGATCGTTTTTCCTCTCCGCTACGGTATCCCCGAGGAAAACGGCGCAGCTGCGCATGCGCGCCGCCAGCCTTGTCTGCATAGTTCAAGGTCTTGTGGCGGATTACGGAGCGCTATCCGGGTGCTTAGCGGGCTGCGGAAACGGTCTACTACAATTCCCTATTGTCAAAACTTAACGGGCTACTGATATTCGTTACCGTCCTTCGAACGTAACGATAAACCGTTATGGTTTCTTTCAAAAGTGAACGAATGTTACTTTTGCGCCAATTGGAATATCACTCATTCCACAGCGAAAGGCCGAGGATATGAACTCAGACAACCGCTTAACATCTTTGTGAGTTATTAGTTTGTAAGATTTGTTGCATGACCATTATTTTGAAAAGTGGTTTTATTGACTGTGCTCTCTTTTATTTTCTATTTTTCCCAAATAATGTAGTAATGTTTTGCACGACCATAAGAGATTTGCAATAAACTGATTGAATATAACACTAATTTGAGTGAGGTCACCGGGTGTCGACAAATTTTCTCCTCATCTGAACGGATACACACTTTGGAGTATTTAGAGGTACTCCCAAGAAAATGGGGTATAATTCATTAAATTACAGTATACCCCTTCTTGGGAATGCTGCAAAAGGTTCTCCGATTTAACTCTTTTAGAAAGTCGGCGAACCAGTTCATTCTGTCGAGCTATGCGCAGAGTGGAGATTACGAGCCGATTTCTCTGATTCTTTCACGAGTTTGTTCTGAAAGCCCTTAAAACCCAGTTTCAAGCGCACTTGAAGCAGGGATATTAGAGGTGGGTCACGAATCAGTCCGGGCATGAAGAAATTGATAAAAAAATTACTTACAAGGATAGGTTATCTGGTGGAGAAATGTTAGGACCGAGTTTAGTGTAACTAATAGTAAAAGAGGCGACGCTCTTATGGGTGAAAAGGATAGATCTATTCATGATAAGTCGAAGCCGCGGTGTAGGGAACACAAATCAATAAGGACAACAGTAGGCTATCGACACATTCCGAGCGTGATTAAGCGTGCAAACTGGGCTTAGGGACAGTTAGTAAAAAAAAAGAAAATGGAGCACTGATAAGGACCTATCGACCCTAACTGTAAACGTTCGTGACGACCGCAACCGCAGAAAATAGTTGCTCTTTCAAATTAGCCCCAAAGAAAAAAAAGAGCATCATATTTTTTCGATATCCAGGACTTTACACCAGGACCGGGGATAGGCGACCCGTGATGCCGCCCAGGAAGCCATCAAAAGGGTTGCGCCGCTGCGCCCCCATTTGAAAGTTTTTTTAGCTTACTAATTTATTTAAACACGGGGGCTCTTTTCAGAAAAAAAAATACTCGTTTTGGATTACTACTCACATGTTTACTGACTACGTGATGTCGTAGAGAGGAGCGTACAAAAAGGCGAAGGAAACGGGGCGCCGGGGGCGTTAGCGGCAGGAGTTTGCCTAGGGCGCTTGATGGGGTCGGACCTGCTTTATGCCGTCCGATGCCTGTTGTTGATAGGATCGGATGAATAGCACTTTGCACCTCACACCGATTTTAGCAAGAACAGAAGTTGCACAAAAATGGGGCGACTAGCAGAAAATCCACTCGGCGGCACACACAGCGGGGCACCGTGACGAACGCTCCGACCAGCTCCGGAAGACTGCTTCCGTGTACCGGCCGAGGCTCATACAGGAGAATTCCCGAATCGCCCTTCCCATTTGAACCTGTCCCTTTTCAACCCGTTCCCGAAACACCTTTACGTTTGCGCCAGTCCCGTATAAACCCATTGGTATATAAAGCCCCGCACATCTCAAACTCTCCGCGAAAAGTCTCCATCGTTCTAACCCTGGTTTGCTCTCATTTTCTCATTAAAAATAGTTGCCGAAATTTTGTTAATGCAATTAAAGCAAAGGTGCCGGCGGGCTATTTAGTTATGTTGTGAACTAGTTTTTATTGTCAACGTATTCTTAAGCTATACATCACTTTCAGACAAGCTCCAATGAAAGATATTTCTACTTGAACCACTTGAAATGTTTCTGTCAAGATGGTCCCCAAAATGTGGGACTACGAAACGCGACAATGTTACCGCGAACACGATGTAGACGATTGTTTAAATGTTACTTCGAAATGGTGTTAGAAGGTACCAAGTTGTATACCGCTTAGCTTAGTGGCCCAGATGAGCACTTTCAAAGACACTAATAATACTGATGGCAGTCATTTCATTCTTTGAGACAAACTGCGAAAAACTGCAATCGCTTGTTCGCGCTAGCAGTGTCGCGCTCAAGCACTTTGAGTAAACAAAAATTAGCGCTGCCTTAGGTTTTATAATCGCGACGCTATTTTTAGGTTTCCCAAAGCGCTTACGGACGTTATTCTGAAACTTCCTTATAGTGAACGGGATATGTTGAAGAGTGAGAAATTAGACAAGTTGACAGGGCATATGATTGCGACTTCATTTTCTTACGAGTTCAAACACAAAACCCTCGCGCTCACAGGAAAAATCCATAAACTACAAAATGCTATCGCCTTTGTTGAGGACGTCGAGCAGGACAATCGCACCATCAGAAAGGCGACACTCCGATTTTGATAGTTCGCGGCTGTCCCCTGGCCCGCACGGCACCACTATTTGCAAGCTGCTGCGAAGGTACCCTTGTCAAGGTTGATTAACGTACAAGTTTCGGCTACAAT